CTTTTCTACAATAGTGCTCGCCACTTTTGGTTGCTTTGGAAGTATTAAATCGCAACTTTCGCAACTTTCTTCATTTTCACGAACTACTTCGCAACTTTTCCGCAACCGTGAGCAGAGAAGCGCCTTGGAGGAGACCATTGAAGTGTCCGTGATGCTACATGCTCTCCTTCAACTCCTTCAACAAGAAACGCTGAAACAATGCATCAAAATCATCATGACAAGTGTACTTCTCGAAGAACATTACAATGTACATGTACATGATTGTGCACACAACGGTGACATCGCGGAGGACCGCTGTGTTCGGAAACAGTGGCCTCACTACAACCATCCACGGTTGGCAGAGCCCCGGTCTTGCGATCATTGGAACCGGCTCTGCCGACCGTGGACGGTTGTAGTAGGTCACTGTTTCCGAACACAGTGGTCCTCCGCGTTGTAACATGCTGTCAACGTGTTTTCAACAAAACAAGGTTTATCCGTGCATATACATGTACATGTATGCCGAGGTAATATGGCAGCACTGAGCTATGTGTACATGTATGATTGATATTATGGCATTTATGCGCAAGAACCCGCTCATTTTGTTGCGAAAAGCATAAGTTAGTTGCGAAATATTTTGGCATCTTTGAGAAAGGGCTAGCGAGGAGTGCTTACCATCCAAAGATGTCGTAATGTGTATTGCCACTATTGGAACTATGCTAGCCAAACATTACATAATTATTATGGTAGAGAAGTACGCGTGGTAGGTATTACGATGTGTGCGAGAGTATCACTCAGTATGATGAATCAGTGTTTGTGATGATGTGGACAATATGACGTGTACATGCAAACAAAATTAATGATGATATCATGATGCGAGAACGCCAGAGACGCTACATCAATACTATCAAAGCAGATCATTATTTGCAATAGCGCAACTTGGAAAGCCGGCTAAAATTCCACACCATCCCTACTTGTAAAGTAGGTCTATATTAGGGAACGTGGGTCTACAAAGACCGTGGACGGCACTCATTCAGAAATGACAACGCATATACATGTACCTGTATGAGGCCCGGCACCCAGGTTAAACAGGTGACGAACCACCTGACCAAAACGAAAGAGATCTTGCATCTTGCATGATTCACAGGCCATTGGTACTGAAGACCAAGGGTGTGAATGCACCTCTCTCAACATCCACTACACGCTGCAGATATGCTCTCTTCTTCTGGCTTCCATTCCTAGACATCTGTGCAAGACGTTGCCCCCTCGACAACACGGATGCTGATGGGTGAGTCACCCTAATATCAAAACATGAATCCTGCTGTCGAGACCAGAAACCTCTTGCACAGATGCCCAAACTGGCTTCGTCTCTTCTATTGACCGAGGCTCCGGAGAGCGACTCACCCTCCAGCGGCAGAAGGGGAGCTCAATCCGGACATCCGCTAGAGCAGCGCCCATAACCATGGCATCAGCCTGAAGACCACGCAATCCACGCTGATGATCGGTTTGGGTCTATACAAATATTTGGCTGTCAAGCCGTTCCGGTATCGAACCATCCGCTATTACTGTAGTCCGTGTACATGTACTAGTACTAGTACTACTAGTAGTAGTCTAGTACTAGTAGTAGTACAGTCGTAGATCTACATTGTAGTTCCATGAGTACAGACTACCGCTGTTCATGCACCCCTTGCGCGGGCTGTCTGTACTCGTAGATCTGCCCTCTTCTACTGCTAGTACTCAGTAGTACTAGTAGTAGTACTGGCTGCGTTCGATTCTGCACTTGAATCGATTCATGAATACATTCGCATGCATTCAAGTCGTTCGATTTCCATGTCATGAGTACTAACAGAGTACTATCATACCTCGGTTATCCGGACCCCGAAGTTACGGGCACTTCGGTCTACCGTGCACTATTTGGGCGAGTTTCAGGGGAAATATTACTACTCTTTTGTCACTTTTCGTAGAAATATTGACGTCATATGCCATATCGATGGCCTTTTCCCCATCAAGATGTATATGATTCGGAGTTACGGACATTTTCAAAGTTACGGGCAGTGCAAGGTCCCGGACTGCCCGGATAAACGAGGTATGAGTGTAGCCCTTTCCCAAAGATGCCAAAATATTTCGCAACTAACTTACTTATGCTTTTCGCAACCATGCCAAAACAAGTGAAAGTTGCCGAAGGTCGCATCCATATTTTCAGAAAAAGCTCAAAAGTTGCTATATCGCAACTCAAAATGAGCGAGTTCTTGTGCATAAATGCCATAATATCAATCATACTTCATAGCATGATCTACGCACCTCCCACCGCTTTATTATTGTTCTATTAGGAGCTGCATCTGCGCCTTGATCCTTGAAGGGTGGTGGTGTTCCTACGGATGTGGAAAACTCGGTTTCCAGCCGAGTCTCACGCGAACCGTGAATTTTTTTCATAGCAGAATTGCGCAGTGCTGCCACATTATACATGTTTATGCTGACCTTTCAGACAAACTTCCAGTCAACTTGACCATCATGCTGGCGGCTTATAGTTATACCAAGAGTACATAACCCCCCCCCCCCCCCCCCCAGAGTGTACAACGCCGATCCAGCTCTGCATATATATGGTCTTGGTCGAGCGGAATCGGATCTTCTGATGTCATGCGTACACTCCACACCAGCGCAAGGCCGGTCTCGAGGCAGGGCACCATTGTTTTTGATCCAAGAGTACCCGCGACTCCCCGGGTTCCCCTCAGATGTGTACGGTATTATGACGCAAAGATCCGATTCCGCTCGACCAAGACCCTATGCAGAGCTGGATCAGGTGTTGCACACTCTGGGGGGTTATGTACTCTTGGTTATACTGGGCATATAAACCTCATACAAACCCCATATAGACCGCCACCATAGAAACAGGAAGAAGTTGACTGTCAGTTTGTGTGAAGGTCAGCATAAGTATAATACATTCCACTAGTCCGCTTGTACGGTACAAGCGTACTGCTGGGTTGTATTATTATACACAAAAATGTATGTGCACGGATAAACCTTGTTTTGTTGAAAACACGTTGACAGCATATTATGTTATTAACCCTTTGGAGCTCATCGTTCGAACGATGCCAATGTCATGTGTGCAAGTGCACTCAACGAGTCACAACTCAGTCAAATCTCAAACGTACAGTATTCAACAATCGAAATACCTACGAGGTAGCAGAGAATCTAAGCTGTCGGCTCGAAAAACTCCTGGGTCGATACGAGCTAGTATAACAGAGCGGCAAGTGCTCGAGCGTTCGCTCGATTTCTCATGCGTCAGCGAAGTGCAAATTTCGTTCAAAAGTGGGATTTTCCCTCTTCCTGCCCACGCAGCGTGTGACATCACTCCTGGCGCTTTTTGTCACGGCTTTTGTGAGTCTGTTAGAAAAAATTTGAATGATTTTGAGCTAGCACGAGTGAAATGGCGAGACAAGGACTATTCCCGTTTTGGATTTGGTATTCAGCTGGCGTTCCTGGCATTCAGTGGCAGACAGCAATCGCTCTCCTGAATGAGTGTGGACTCGCTGTTATTCTCGTTCCAAGAGCTTTCCAACGAGCCCAAGATCGTCAAAATCGGTGAAGTAGAACCAGCGTTATGATGGAAATTGGAACGAATATACTTGCAATTGCAGCTATCTCCCGACGTCGTGTGATCAGTGCAGTTCCAAAGGCAAAGGGTTTACAAGGCCGAGGACAAATGTGTTCGGAAACAGTGACCTTACTACAACCATCCACGGTCGGCAGAGCCGGTTCCAATGATCGCAAGACCGGGGCTCTGCCACCCGTGGATGGTTGTAGTAAGGCCACTGTTTCCGAACACAGCGGTCCTCCGCGTTATGTACATGTACATTGTACATGTTCTTCGAGAAGTACACTTGTCATGATGAGTTGATGCATTATCAGCGTTTCTTGTTGAAGGGGAGCATCACGGACACTTCAATGGTCTCCTCCAAGGCGCTTCTCTGCTCACGGTTGCGGAAAAGTTGCGAAGTAGTTCGTGAAAATGAAGAAAGTAGTTGCGAAAGTTGCGATTACTTCCAAAGCAACCAAAAGTTGCGAAAAAAAGTGGCGAGCATCTTTGAGAAAGGGCTAGTCATGAGTAAGTACTACATGTAGTACAGTTAGTATGGTTTACAGTGAGTGCGTTCTGCATGCACGCCAATCGATTCACGAATTGATTCATGAATCGATTCGCGCTAATCACTGCACTCCATATATGTGTGAATGGATTCCGAATCCATGGCTCATGACACGGAACCATGGCTCATTATCATTATGATCATGTCGACCATGTCGAGAGCCATGGATTCGGAATCCATTCCCACATGGTGATGTGATTAGCGCGAATCGATTCGTGAATCGATTGGCGTGCATGCAGAACGCACTCACTGTAAACCGTGCATGACTGTACTGTGCACAGGCTCTAGCGTGATCATGGTGATACTGGTGATACTGGATCGCGGACTCTACTCGTACCTACCTACTACTAAACGACACGTCATAACCCCATAACCGCATCCGGATCCTTGTACACTGCGTACCGAGTAGAACTAACTACCCAGTTGACCGACGACGTGCACGTGCGCGGTAGATCTAGACTATACTACTAGTCTGGAGTACGGATGTCAGCACAGACTAGTCAGTTCATTGCATGTGAAAACAATGCGCCATTTGCGGTAGATCTACACTGACATGACAGTCTGTACTAGCTGTGTAGTACTGACAGCAGATTATTTCTACTCGTAGATCTACCCATCACTGCCATCAGTCATCACCGCACCGCGGTAGAGACTGCGAGAGCACTCTCGCGCACACGCACACACCATGTACACACACACACACGCACACACACCTAGTACCTGCCCGTAGACGCAGTACACACTCCCTAGCCATGTGACCTGCGCAGGTAACTGGTTAGAGCTCGGAACCTCATGTCATGATTCGCTGGCGAGCCTACAAACCTATAAAACCTACACTGGCTATCGCAAACAGAACATTCACAAACAATTATTGTAAACAAGTCGTTGATATGTGTACTAGTACTAGGTCAGAATCTTAGTCTCACTCTCCAAGGTACTCAGTAAACTGGTTGCAGTCATTCTGCAGCGGCATGAAGAGGCTTTGACCGCTCACCAGTACGATGGACGTGAACTACTTACCCAGCCTCATCGCTATCGCTGGACTTTCATTGTTTCTGGCAAAGTTTCTGCATATCGTGGCCACATGGTGGCTTCATCGGCGCTTTCTAAGGCAGCGAATACCGGAGCCTTGCAATGCCCACTGGTTTCGGGGACACCTGGTAGAGGACTACCGTCTCGCATGGGACACCTACCTGGGATATGCTCGAAAACTGCCGCGTATGTTCTTACGGCAATTGGGTCCTTTTGCGACCTCAGTCTCAGTGTGTCATCCGGACACCATTGCAGATGTCATGCGAATCAAGTCGGAAAAACAACCACTATCTAAAAGAGTTTTCCGCGTTTGGCTTGGAAATGGCCTCGTGTTCACGGAGGGTAAGCGGTGGGCCCGTGATCACAAGTTGATTTCTAACGTGTTTTCGCCGGACATGCGCCGCGAGTATGTGAATTTCTACAAGGAAGCAGCATTCATCATGCTTGATCTCTGGGAAGAGCAGCTCCACAAGAGTGTGGATGTGTCGCAGTATTTTCCAATGCTGACGTTTGACATCATCCTGCGGTGTGCTATGGGTACGGAGACCAACTGCCAAACGGAAAGTGATCCAAGTGCCCCTGCCTTGCGTTATGCTGCTGCATTGAGAGGAATCCTTGAGATTATCTTCTCGCGTTTCACGCAACCTTGGTTCTACTCGGATTTCATATTCCTTCATTCTCCAACTGGTCATCGCTTCCAGAAGTTGCTAGCGGAAACACACAAGTTCAGTGAACAACTTATCCGAGACAGACGGGCATGTCTTCAGAATGCTGAAGGTGAAAATGATGGTGGAAACAAAAGGCACCGAGATATGCTCGACATTCTACTGATGGCAAGAGATGAAGACGGTGTGGGATATAGCGACACGGAGATCTGTGAGCACGTCGAAACGTTCCTCTTTGCGGGCCACGACACTACGGCCTCGGCCTTCCAGTGGATCATACACTATCTCAGTCTAAACCGTGATGTCCAAGAACGCTGTCGTAACGAAGTACTAGCCGTCTTGGAGAGATGTGGTGGTTTGGACAACTTTGCTCATGGGCACCTGGCTGACCTGGAGTACTTGACACAAACCATTCAGGAGGTGCTGCGCTTGAGCAATGTTCTCCCGTTCGTAGCAAAGACAAGCAAGCATGCCAGCCAGGTGGATGGTGTTGGGCTGCCTACTGGTACTGGCTTTCAACTCAACATGATGGGGGTCCATATGAGCAAACAAGTCTGGACTGACCCGGACACGTTCAATCCTGATCGATTCTCACCAGATCAAAGTAGCACACGGAGCTCCTATGCCTTCATCCCCTTCAGCTGCGGTCCACGCACGTGTATTGGTAAGCACTTTGCCATGGATGAGATGAAGGTGGTGATGGCCATGATACTGGCCAAGTTCCGCTTTACGCCAGACCCTCACGCCAAACAGCCTGCTTGGGTAAATGCAATAATCGTCAAGCCAGATCCCGGTGTGCATGTAAAATTGGAGCTTGTATGAACATCAAGTTAGTATTCCATTTGATGCCTTGCTGCAGCTAGAGTCACCGCAGTAACTAAACAAGCTGAGCTTGAAAAATGTACACTGATAGTGGTGTCTACGCGACCAGCTATTTTCTGTAGATCTGTTTTCCTAATGAATACTGGCTTCGCCGGTCTAGATGAAACGTACCTAGTGGATATGCTAGGTAGATTGATTGCCAATTTACGCTTTCCAATTTTGATTTTATTCTTATTCAGCTTACACTGGAGTATGATTTGAGTACCATACCAGCGCGATCAGAGCCCTCTCTTGAATAGTGCCCTATCTCGAATAGTGTCCCAGTCTCTAAGAGCCAGTGAAAAAATAGAGCCCTCTCTTGAATAGTGCCCCCCCCCCCCCTCCCGGCTTGTAACCAAGCGCATGTGCAACTTTGGTGTTCTTTTGGTAATGTTCTTGTCCATTTCATTTTACCTGGTGGTTTCAGGATCACAATCGCAGTTCTTGGTGCCCTTTCTGTTGAGTCGTGATAGTTTACAGTAAACTTTAGGCTCTGTTTTTCTTTGCATGAATTTTTTTATGCGGGATTTAAGCAGCTCAGGTATACTCAGTACTTGGATTACATACATGTAGCTGCTTCTGTTTGCGTGACACGATGTCTGCAGCTTTTAACCTCCGCCTGCTCGTGACTTTGTCTCATCTTGGTTACCACTGCATCATACTGCTGTCACCCGGAATCTTGTGCGCTAAGGCTGGAAATATTGCACTTGCGAGAGTATCCAAATCACGACAGACCCAGCCGATGCAGCTCAGTGCCGTCAACAAACTGTTCTTCGTGTTTAAAGCGATCTTGAATGCCTTTAGTTGATCATAAGCTTACCTCTTTCTTTCTCTTGGCATACATGGTATTATTGTGTGACTTGTATTAGCTGTTCCTGATAGGCTATGCCTAGTGTTAGAATTACATTGTATGTTCATGGCCTTGATATCCTGCACTGACAAATGCTTTGCTGATTTACCTACATTTAATCAGTGCGTATTCACTAAATTCATGGTTCCTGAAACGAGAGAGCTTGGAAGGTCACGGCCCTACGCTATGCCTTTTTGCCTTGCTCATTAGGCCTTTCCCAAATCGGCCGGCCGAAAAATTCGCCGAAAAGTAGCCTTTTCAGAAAATCGCCGATCTTTTGGCCGAATTCTGAGATTTCACCTAGAAATCGCCGAATATACATGTTTTGCAGGGTCGTGGGCAACTGGGCATGACCGCTCGTGCGCGCCTAGCCTGCGTCACGGCCCGTGGGTATTTCCCAAATCGGCCGGCGGAAACATTGGCCGAAAATAGTGGTTTGAAGAAATCACCGATCGTTGAGCCGAATACGCAATTTTCGCACTGAATTCGCCGAAAATTGATGTTTTAGTGCCTCAATACATGCAAATACAATTATTTCTGTAGCCATTATCTGCGAAAGGTGGCTGCGACTTTGGAGCCGAATTTCCACCTTTTACAGAAATTTTCAGCCAATTCTGGCGATTTTTCAGCTGATCGAAAAGTCGAATAGGCCAAAAATAAATGGCCGATTTGGGAAAGGCCTATTGCTCATCATGCATGTTATTAGAACTGCTGGACATGGTTTTTTTCATTGATTGGCTACATCATTGTATTGAAACAAACGGCGAGTAGACAATAATTTGATAACCGCGCATTCAATAAGACAAGCTGAATCGACATTTTGTGTATACTTTATTCATGCAATGTAAAACGGTGGAGACAATGTGCAATAAAAACAATGAAAATATGAAGAAATAGTGCGGAGAAAAAATAAGGATTCAAAAGGGTTTTCGTGCAACACTCATCAGGAATCGTCATCGTATTGCAAAAACGTTTCAATCAGTTTGAATATGAGTTAGGCAAAAGTAATTGCAGAATTTTTGGGGTTATACAGTATACAAATTGTTCAGAAGATCCCGAGGTCTGAACTAGCCCTTTCCCAAAGGTGCTCTTTTAATTCGCACTTAGTGCTTTTCGCGTCCCTCAAAATATGCTGAAAAGTGCTCTTTTTTCAGTGAAAACAGGCAAAAAGTGCTCTTTTTTCAGTGAAGCATAGCCATGATACATGTTCAGATATGAACCCAAGCTGAGAAATGAATACGCCCTCTTCCATTTGTGGGTCCACGAAAGGCAAAACAGGAAGTAAAGTTAAAAAAACCCACTTTTTACAGCATTGCCATTGACATTGTGTACACCGGCCCCGGTGTCACCGGGTGCAAGCTTCACCAACTTTTTGCCCCGAAAAAGCGGCGTGCCAAGGCCCATCGAGCACTCGGAAACTGTGTGATCGCATGTGTAGTATCCCTGACTGTCACTATCACACAACCTCCTAGTTACATTGTATTTGTACAATAGTTTACAGGTACATGTACATGTACATGTACATTCTAAGTGCTTCTCCTGCGCAACCACTTAGGACTAGATCGCCCTGCTTGCAAGACCGGTACGGCATGAGGCTATAGCGCCCATTCATACTGTACTAATGTACATTGATTCCTGTACTAGACTGTAGTCCTACTTCATGCACCATTGCGTATCCCCCCCCCCCCCGGCCCTCTATGTTTAAGATTCCCTCGCTCTATTCAGCTTCTCTTCTTTGAATAGCGTATTTCCCGGCATCCTTCACACCCAATAACTAGCCCTACAAGTAAGATCCCTTTTGCTACACAGTTTTAGATGTCATTCCTGTTGCCCCACCCGTTGCTCGCCACTGAGGTCCATTCTTCCCCAGCACTGGTTCTTGTCCTGTTGTTCTCCTGCTTTCTTTTGCCCTCACTCCCAGCTGCTCTCTCCCTCTGGCCTATATAAACCCATCATTCTTTCTCATTGCATTGTGGAATTATGAAGTGAAGAGTTTTAAGGGGGCAGCCTACCCATAAATTTCATATGGCATTCAATTGACCGTAACTTTGGTGTTTCTCAGTGGATTTGAGTGAACTTTTGACCACACACTCCTGCCACTATGCTGGCCCTCAGGACATGATTTGCAAGTTCTTGCGCCTCACTGACAGGCTTTCCAGGCCGGAAAAACTCAAATTTCCGGCATAGTGCCACGGTGTGCGAGCCACCCAGGAGCCAAACAAATGCATTTACATTTTTTTCACATTTTCGTGCCCATTCTGTCCGTGCGCGGGACCCAAACCTAAAACAAGTCCAGAAGCAGCCATGGGTGGTGGGGTAGGGCCCCTCAACGTGGCCCTGGAATCTGTCACAACGGAACGAGTGGGCGTTCTCTCGCGGACTCCCACAGACCCAAGTCAATTTTTGAATTTTTTAGGTTTAGGGTGTGCTACGAGGTCGTACCTTTGATACAACATCCAGTGCTGGGACCTCCACAGCAAGCCATTTCCACAGCGCTGCACACCAAATCCAGGATGCCCTCAGAAACCGGCAAAGACTGCCACTCACGTTTCACTACTGCCTAGTACTGAATCCTACCTGACTTCTTGACACGACTCAAACTTGCCAAAGTCACTAAATCAACGTCAACTACAATAATCAAGCCACATATCTGCAACGTCACGAGGGTGCGGGCAAAAGTCCTGCTGCACGGCGGCGGGCTTCGCCCGCCGCCGTGCAGCCCAATACGTGGTTTTTTAACGTGATTTTTTGGACTTTTATTATTATTATTATTATTTCACAATCACGATGACATAGTGCCAATAAGCATGTGATGCGGGCGATTTTAACCAGCCATGGTGGGGACAACTGAGAAAAAGAAGGAGAAGAAAAAGAGAAAAGAAAACAAAACAAAAGGAGTACTATAGGAACCTGGAGAGAGCAGTATGAAGATTAGGCTAGCAATGGAAAACAACGAATTCAATTCAATTCAACTTAGGCGCGGGCAGAATGGAACAAAATGCAGCGAAGGTGTCACGAGACTTTACCTCCTGCGGAAGCCGAGACCAATGAGAATAGGACTTGAACAGAGGGGATTTTAAAAGGATCGATGACCTGGCAAGTGGGAAATGGAGAGAACATCTAGTACGCGAGCTATTATTGAACCAGCTTAAATGCGCAAGTGCATGAGGAGGAGCAAGTTGAAGCTTAATACGGTGAATGAATTTGCATGCCGAGTGGGGAAAGCGTTCTGAGAGAGGGGAAGAGGAAGCCAAAATGTATAGCGTCTGAGAGGAGGTCAGAGGGGGCATGCGAAATATTAATCGAAGTAATTTACGGTGGGTGACTTCTAACCGATGCATAAGAGCGGAGGATAGACCGGAGGACCAAACGAGAGAGCAGTAATCAAACAAAGGAAGAACATAAGAGTGATAAATTTGTATTCGACAACCATGGTGTAGATGGGAGATGTGAGGAGAAATGCAGCCTATCGCGGAGCAAACTCGCTTTTCAATATAGGTTACGTGCGAATCCCAGGACAAGTGTTCATCAAGAAATATACCAAGGTGTTTGTGATTTTTAACAATGTTGATAGCAATGGGATCATCAGGGAAAGTAAAAAGCCGAGTCGTAAGGAGGGTGAGGTCACTGGAGGGTCGTGGGGGGATACAAAGGATTGCCGTTTTCGACACATTGGGGCGGAGTTTCCACTTCGACATCCAGCGCACAACTTGATTAATGTGATACTGTAGCGAGTCGCAGGCTTGCAATAAGCCTGGCTCGGTTATATGGAGCGCTGTATCGTCCGCGTAGAGTGAGGTATGATCCAAACCTGCCAAATCATTAACGTATACGATGAACAATAGAGGCCCCAAGATAGAGCCCTGGGGCACTCCAGAGTGGACTGTTAGAGGGGCGGACAGGGCATGTCCAATTCGGACACTCTGTCGACGTTCAGTGAGATAGCTGGTGAGCCACTGCAGACACGTCCCGGCTACGCCAAACGCTGCTAACTTATGGAGGAGACCCCTTGTCCATACAGTGTCAAATGCTTTGCTGAGGTCGAAAAAACATAGGAGGCTAAATTGCTTCTGATCCTTGCATTCATATAGCTTCTGCACAAGCCTCAGCAACTGCCAGGCGGTCGAATCGCCTCGCCGAAATCCAGACTGTGACGGGTCAAGGACCGGGTTCACATGTTGGTATAAGTGGCCAAATGCCACACGTTCACAGAGCTTTGAAATGGTGGAAAGGAGTGAAATCGGCCGGTAATTGGATGCAGACAGTTTACTGCCTTTATTCTTGTAAATAGGCACAACCACAGCTGCCTTCCAGACATCAGGGAAGATTCCGGTGGCGAAGGACTGGTTGAAAACTAGGCTGAGAGGGATAGCTATACTAGGAGACAGGGCTTTTAGCAGTTCATGGGATATGCCATCTGCACCTGCCGCCTTCTTGGGCTTTAGGCGACGGATGTGTTGGGCAATGGCGGTGGGAGTTGTGCTAAAAGAGGGTAGTGCTGGGAGCCCGTGGTGTGGAATACCAGGGAGAGACCATGCAGGATCATCCGGTGTTCCAAAGCTGATGAATTGGCGATTCAGAGCATTGGCAATCTGGGTAGGGTCGCTGTGTACTGTGTTATTTTCATGGAGTTCAGTGATGATAGGGTTTCCAACAGGGGTCGGCGAACGAAGCTGCTTAACAAACTTGAACAAACTAGGGGTGGATGCAATAATGGATGAGGGGTTAGTGCTAATGGAGGACACATACTGGCGGTGAGCCTCTCTAGATAGGATTCGTGCTCTGTTACGTTCGCACTTGTAATGCTCGTGATTGCTAGGGGTAGGATACTTGCGATACAGGCTGTACGAGTCTCGCTTCCTCTTCAGCTGAGCTTTAACAGCACGTGTCAGCCACGGGGGACTTGGTGTACGTCGTCTAGGGGCTGAAGAGCGCGACCGGGTGGGTAGGAAAGCGGAGCATAGACTATGAAGGATGTCATAAAATGCTGGAGCAGTACGGTTTGGATCTCCAAGCTTCAACTGGAGAGCAGCATGCCAGTTCAAATTAGCAATGGATTCATTTAGAGCAACTAGGTGAGTGGGAAGAATGGAGGAGATGTCAAACTGACTGAAGTCAGGTAGGAATGGGAGGGCAGTGTAGTGTTGGGTGCAGGTGGTGATGCGGTACATGTCGGGATGCACAAAC